TCGAGTTCAAGTGGAACAAATGCCTCAGATTCATTTGCAGCCTAGACTCGCCTAATCATTTTGGGTAAGCACTATGTAATACTAATTATTGAATTTGATGCAATAAAAATTAACCATAACTAATCATACTATAAATTTGGAGAGAAATTGAAGAGATTGGGTTTTAGGAAGAATTGGAAGAGAGAAATTGGGAAGAAGCAGAAGAAGAACAAGAAAATAGTTGTGTATATATCGTGTATGGAGAAGTAAAAATGGAAGGTGGTGTTATTAGATTTCGTAACAACCAATGTTACATATTAGAAGCTTTATTTGTGAGCTTTTTTGTCGAACCGAATTGCAATTTGGTCTTTTTCTCTCAGATTTCTTTTAGAATCTGTCGAAAGATCCTTTTAAAAAGGACCTCTCGCCTATTTATACAAGGTGTACTACAGAAGGGAAGAAGAAAAAAAGCGAGAAAAAAGGATGAAAGAACGACATACAATTGTGTATATACCGTGTATGTGCAAATATTTATATTAGTTTTTTTGTTTTTGTACTGATCCCTCTATATATAATTCTCGAATGTTAATACACTCTCACGCTTCAGGCTTCGGGGTCCTCTATTATAATCATACGATAAATTTAGAGAAAAATTGAAGAGATTGGGTTTTAGGAAGAATTTGGAAGAGAGAAATTGGGAAGAAGAAGAAGGGGGACATAGTTGTGTATATATCGTGTATGGAGAAAAAAAAAATGGAAGGTGTTGTTATTAGATTCCGTGACAACCAATGTTATATATTTTAAGCTTTATTTGTGAGCTTTTTTGCCGAACCGAATTGCAAGTCGATCTTTTTCTCTCGGATTTCTTTTGGAATCTGTCGAAAGATTCTTTTGAAATGGACCACTCGCCTATTTATACAATGTGTACTACAGAAGAGAAGAAAAAAAGTGAGAAAAAAAGGATGAAAGAGCGACATACAATTGTGTATATACCGTGTATGTGCAACTATTTTGATTAGTTTTTTTTTTTTTTTTTT